GAAATGCCACCTGTTCCAGAAAGAGGTGCTTTACATTGTAAGTGAGCATGGTGTGGGAACTGATCCTGACAAGGTGAAAGCAGGACATAACTGGCCAACACCAGACAATGTAGGAGAGTTGAGAAGTTTGTGAAGGAATTTGCAACTGTAGCTGCTCCACTACGTGATTTAACAAAAATGGGCCAGAAGTTTGAATGGACAGTTTCTTGCCAGCATGCTTTTAAAACATTGAAAGAAAAATTGGCCTCAGCTCCAAAATTGAAGCTTCCAAATCCCTCACTGCTGTACATGCTGGATTGTGATGCTAGTAATGTCGGAATTGGTGGAGTGTTGTCTTAGAAAGTGGGTGAAAACAAACATGTGGTGGCCTACTTCAGTAGGGTTTTGAGTAGACCAGAGAGAAACTACTGTGTAACACGGAGGGAACTCCTTGCTATCGTAAAGAGTCTGACATATTTCCATCCTTACCTTTATGGGGCTAGGTTTACCATCAGGACAGACCATGCTGCGTTACGCTGGTTAATATCATTAAAGAACCCAGGGGGACAACTGGCACATTGGATCAGAAAGAAAGACCAGTATAATTATGATATTGAATACAGTGAAGGAAGATCTCATGGAAATGCCGACAGACTGAGTCGAAGACCCTGTGAAAATGACTGCAGACATTGCTGCAAAAGAGAGGTTGAGCTAACCAGGTGCCATCAAGCTGAAGTTAAAGTGACTTAAGGAATTGATGACGGTGAATTGGAACCAGGTATAGATATTAAAGCAGAGCAGGAGAAAGATCAAGATTTGAAGCCAATAATTGATTTTCTAAAAGCAAATGTTTTGCACCCTGCTTGGGAGAAGGTATCTAGCTTAAGTCCTGTGACAAAGAACTATTGGGCAAAATGGGACCAGTTGAAGCTTGAAGATGGTATTCTTGTTTGGAGATGGGAAAGTGACGATCTTGCAAACAGTTGTACCGAGAAAGTGACGGGAAGTTGTGCTGCGTCAATCCCATGATAGTTTAACAGGAGGACATCTCGGAGGTAAGAAGACATTGAGTCACCTACGACAGAGATTTTACTGGATAGGTATGAGGCAAGATGTGAAAGAATGGTGAAGGACCTGCAGTACATGTTGTCCTAAAAGGGGACCCAAGCATAAGGATGTGCTCCAATGAAGTTATATCAAGTTGGCACACCAATGGAAAGAGTAGCCATTGATATTGCTGGTCCTTTGCCCTAAATTCATGCTTGAAACAGGCACATTTGTGTGGTGATGGGTTGTTTCACCAAGTGGCCTGAGGCATATGCAATACCAAATCAGAAAGCTAGAACTGTATCTTCGCTATTAGTGATTTCTTCTTCAGGTTTGGTATGCCATACGAACTGCATTTGGATCAAGGCCGTAACTTTGAATCAGCTGTGTTCCATGAATGCTGCAAGTTGTTTGGCATACGAAAGACCAGGACAACACCACTTCACCCACAGTCTGATGGGATGGCAGAAAAGTACAATTGGGCATTTTGACAGGAATTGGCAAACTTTTGTAATAGCCGCCAAGATAACTGGGATGTCCTACTCCCTCCACTGTTGATGGCCTATAGAACAGCAGAACATGAAGCCACTGGATACACTCCAGCAAAGCTGGTGTTTGATCAGGAACTTCGGTTGCCAGTGGATCTGATAACAGGATGCCTACCTTATGAAGAGTTGCCTGAAAATGTGTCAGAGTTTGTGAAGGTGTTATCTGAAAGGATGGATGATATTCATCATCAAGTGCGTTCAAACTTGAAAACGTCTGCTGATTCCATGAAGCTATGTTATCATAAGAGATCTACTGAAGTCAGCTTTGTACCAGGAGACAAGGTGTGGTTGTATAATCCCAGGAAGACCAAAGAGAAGTCTCCTAAGTTGTCTTCTTCATGGGAAGGCCCATATGATATAGTGGATCATCTCTCAAACGTGACTTTACGAATATAATGTGGTCGGCGAGGTAAGACAAAGGTGGTGCATGCCAACAGGCTTTGGTGTTATCATGGTCCAGGACATTTCAGTTGGAATGAAGTGAACAATGGAACAAATGACGCTGCTGAAGACGTGTCACATTAAAACGTCGCTGTTGGAGAGGAAACTCTACTCGGTTTTGAGGGGGGAAAACAATGAAGCTGTTAATTAAGTTACTACCACTGATGTGACTGTTACCGATAATAGGACATTTCCTGATGGAGCAGATGAACCCGACATAAAGCAGAAGCCAACGATATGGAGACCAGTATGGAATAAGATACGTCCCGTAAAATTAAGAGACTTTGTTGAATTTTAATTTTGTATTTTTAAATTATGTACATTTAATTAAGTTATGGTTAATTATCTATCGGTTTAATGTAAGTGGCTATTGTTCGGAACGAACAATACTATGGAAGGGGCAGTGTTATGACAAGTAAGTCACGTAACGCTGGTAACACTTTATAAGATTCTCGATGGATCTTGAATTGTCCTGGTAACTCTACTCTGTTCCAGGCGCCCTCTTGTTTGGTATATAAGCCCGGCCAATAAAGCGAGATGATAATGGCAGATAGATAGATATAGAGACAGATAATTGAGTCAAGCGAGCGGTAATGACGGTAATTTAAAGTGTGTATTTTGTTATTGAGATTGCAAACGTATTGATTGTGAAAATTCTGTGTATTGCAAAGTTGTATTGAAAAAGAATAAACTAGTTTTAATTAAGAAAGGACTTGTTTGGCTAAAGTTTCTCGGAAAGAATTTCTACGGGAAATTAACAAACAAGCAGATACATATCAATATGTTTTGGCGGCATCTCTGTATAGCCAGACTGGCCAGCAGGTGACATTAGAATGTCGTGGATGATTATTTTAACTGATATGAATACTTAATATTGTCATTATTTCAAATTAAAAGCTGTCAAACTGTCATGCTGACTTGTGTAGGTGAAATGCATTCCAAAAAAAGACTTCCATATATACTTTGAAACTAGATATAAACATCCTCGCCAGTTCAATGTGGCCACCATGTCTACGGCGATGTCGCTCAATATAACTTAATATATAATAGGTTTTTCCTACTTGTGGAAAGTAACACCCTCCGCCTTCGACTCTCTATTTCGGTATGTGTTACAGTTAATGGCATAGCTCTGTGTTCCCTTCGTTCTTTCGGGTCGCAGCTTAAACAGACGACTGTCACTCTCAACATTTTACATTGTCTGCCTGTTCGAATTTCAACACATGGCAATAGCGACAGCATGCATACATGCCCCTCAATGATAAAGAGTAGTGAATGGCTAATCTAGTGTTATTCATATCTATGGTTTTAACTACTCGCACAACTAACAGAAGGGTGTTTTCTGTCAGTCAGTCAGTAGACACTAAAATGACATCACGTAAGGGACACTTAACATTGCAATTTGTACTGTCGTGACGTCTGTAAAACGTGTGCAGCCATGAAACATGAGAAGAATTATGAACTCTGTAGGCTACATCACAGCATGGCATATGAACTCCAAATGCAAAAATTACAAATATTTGTTACTCTTAATTTTGGATTTATTTACTTTTGAAACAAAATACTTTAGGGGAACCTGCGGAACTACATCTAGTCATAATCATACATCACAATCATCAGCTTAGAAAATGCGTTCACACCATAACAATTATTATGTTTAATATACACGCGACAGTTTACAGTTGCTTCCTAACGGCAGTAATAAATATTACAAATAGTAGGCGTATAGCGTAGTAAAAAAAAAACAGGAAAGTTCACATGTTGATTTAACATTTTGTCTATCTTTTTAACTTTTTGGTAATTTACTTCTTTATTTCAGTAAGTTGTAACAAATCTTGTCATAGAGTGTTGACCAGGAAAAATGGTAAATAAGAAACACGTAGAAGGTTACTATTCGCTAATGAAAGAACTAGACCAACTGGGAGATGATCAGTCAATCTTTATCCTGTTTACTGGATCTAAGAGTAGCGATGGTAAAAGTTGGTGCCCCGACTGTGTGTTAGGTATGTTTAAAATTGTTACGATTGTGTAAATATTATCGATATAGTAAAAATAAATTAATTATATTACCTACCTTGAAAAGTTAAATGATCCAAACTGAAAATTGTTTACACCGGTAAACAATAAAATTTAAAAATGTTTCCTTAACACTTTATCATTTTGTTCTTGAGAGTGGGAAAAAGATGTATATTTCTATATTTTAACCAGCCATTTTAGGAAAAGTGAATTACTCTTTTTTTTTTTTTCAGTTTTCGCTCAATATTAATTTTTATATTCTGTTACCTTGAGACAACATTATGCAGCTTGGTAGTTAAAAAAAGAACACTGTCAGTTTAAATGCTTTATTTTAATATCACAAGCATAAAAATATTAATAAAGTTCTATCAGTACCACCAAACAGTGACTAAAGGTAATAAAATGTTCACAGCATTCACATGCCATGTACTTATGTAGTGCATAACTTCTAAGTGCTCTGTTCAAACCAGAAGTCACTTTACTTGCAGAAATTTTGTATCACATGGAACAAACATTTTAGAAACAAACTTTGAGTCCAAAAGACCAGCATAATAGTTCACACACAGTGGCATACCAAGCAGGAGCATAGCCAATACTACAGTGTGTGTGTGTGTATGGTCTTTTAAGTGATGTACTTAAGTCTTAAGTGAAAGTTGTGAAAGAAAAGTACTCAAAACTTCAGAGTCAAGGATTTATTTTTAAAAAAAAGATGGTGGACTATGGACTTCTTAGAATATTGAGGTGGTCATTTGACTCCTTGTTGGCTATGCCCCTGTCCAGGGGATCTCCCCTCCCATGCAACTTATTGTAGTTACTTGTTGTGTTATCAAAAATGTTAAATTTTTCTTACATTTTTACTTTATTATTGGTCATTATCCTGTAAATAAAGCCAACATGAATAATAGTGTGGTATATGAATATACCATGCATTTTTATGTTATTATAATATTACTAAAAATCTACTTGTGAGAAGAGGTAAGTATCTATTGGAAATACATTTTCAGTTTAGGAAAATGTTAACATCAGATTTTTAGTAAGGTATTTTTACTAAAGATTTGTTTGTGAATTTGCAAAACCTTAACTAAGTCACTATGAGTGAAAGGTGATTTTCATCCTAAAAATAAAATACTTCTTTTAATCATACAGTTTTTATGTATTTCCATTGCATAATATCTAGAATATCAAAAGTTTTTCAGTAAAACTTTATCTTTTATTTTCTCTACCCTAAAATCTCAAAATCATCAATTGAGAATGAAACTGAAAAATACAATCAAAAAGTTTTTTTTTCATAGAATAACTGAATATTTAACTCACAGTTACAATTATTGATCCTAAAAGCATTGGCTTCTAACCTTTTCACATCATTAACTTAATAATATTGTTAATGTACTTTGAATTGTCTTCAGTATTTTGACAACAAATATATCTCCTGGTAGGAAAGTGGATAGTGATGTCAAATCATTCCTAAAGGTGTGTTCACAAGGAATTTTTTATTTAATTTTATTTTTTTCTAAGATATATTAATATAAATCAAGCATTTCAAGGGACCTATTGATCATCTGGGCCATCCCATCCACTATGCTAAACTCTAAAATAAAAACACTCAAAACCAGCTCTTATTATTCAAACATTCATCAAGACTTCCTTTAAACTCCCTAAAATTAACAGCATATAACACATCTGAAAGAAATACAATACAAAGGCCAAACACCCTCTTAGAAAAATAAACTGTTCTTTGCTGAAAATGACTCCTACCCTGCCAGAATTTAAATTTGTCCCCTAGTTCTATCATTCTCACTCTTTAAGTACAAAAAAAAAGATGCATCAACACTATCAATTCCCTTAACAATCTTAAACACCTCAATCAGATCCCCTGCAACTCTTTTTTTTTTCAACAGAAACAAGTATAGAAATCGTAACTCATCCTCATATGATATTTCCATTCAAGGTATCAGCCTAATAGCCTTTCTCTGAATCTTTTCCAAAAATTCAGTGTCCTTTCTGAGGTAAGGATCCCAAGCCTGAACATAGTACTCTAGATGTGGCCTGAAAAATTGCCTATACAATGATATTATAACCACTTTAGACTTGTATTCAATTATTTTGTAGATACAACCTAAAATCCTATTTGCCCTCTGCCACTAGCAACAGCACATTGCTTGGATGGCATAACAGATTAAACAACCAGAACACCAAAATCTTTTTCTTCTGTAACACTGTTAAGAATATTCCCATCAAAATTATACTCATTATTTGTATTGTGATTTCCCACATGCATTACCTTGCATTTATTATAATTAAAAGCCATATACTATTTAGTTGCCCAACACAACAAATAATCCAATTCCATTTGTAAAGTAACAGTATCCTCCTCACAACCACCAACAATTAAAACTTTAATATTATTGGCAAATTTAAATCATTTATTGACCATTTCTTCATCTATATAATTGGTATAAATAAAAAAGAGCAAAGATCCTAACACTGAGCTCTCAGGTACCCCACTTGTGACATTCATCCAGTTTCACTGAACTCCATTTATAACAACCTTTTGCTTTTTTTCCATCCAGCCAAGTTTTCTAGCCAATGAGTCAGCCTATCTCCCACAACTACAGATATAATTTGTTAAATAAGGCTTTTATTTGGCACTTTTTCAAATGTCTTCTGAAAATTCAGATACTGTAGTGAAACTATGCTGACTATCCAACGTAATTTTAAGGTTTATTAAATGACTTTGCAAAGCTTCTTTTATCAGACTTCCAAAAACTTTTCCCATCATTGATGTAAAACCAATAGGTCTGTAATCACTGGGACAGTTTTTTATCACCTCCCTTGAAAAGTGGAGTAACATTAGCCAACTTCTAAACTTCTAGCACCTGCCCACT